GTTACGTTGACGACACATTCACCGCCGTTCGACACGACGAAATTGACGCATTCCACAACCACCTTAACGAACAAAACACTGACATACAGTTTACCAGAGAAGTCGAAGAAAATGGCAAACTTCCTTTTCTAGACTGCCTGGTAAGCCACAACGACAACTCATTACGAACGACAGTTTACAGGAAACCGACACACACCGACAGATTACTAGACGAGTCATCCTACAACCCTACATCACACAAAGCCACAACTATCAGAACTCTAACACGACGCGCACAACTAGTATGTGACTCGACAGACAGCTTATCCGACGAGAACAAATACCTTCACCGTGTTTTTACGAAGAACAACTACAACAACGACTTCATCCGACGAAACACTCACCGACCCACTACCACTACCGAAACAAACGACACCGCAACCCCTACGACTACAGCAACCATACCGTACATAAAAGGCATGTCTGAAAACATCTCGCGCATCTTACTACCCTTCAATATCCGCGTCGCCCACAAACCCATCACCACACTACGTCAGTTACTAACCAACGTTAAAGACAAAGACGAACCGAGGAACAGACAGGGAACGATTTATAAGATCAATTGTTCCGACTGCCAAGCCTCCTACATCGGTGAGACTGGCAGAAACCTCACAACAAGACTGACTGAACACAGACGGGCGACGAGGAAAGGTGATGTCAGCAATCACATTGCTGAACACCATCGACTTACCAACCACAACATTGACTGGGACTCTGCGCAATGCCTAACCTACAGCACTGACTATTTTCAACGACTGACTCTGGAAAGCTGGTTTACTAACTTAGAACAGACTCCCCTAAACAGATGTCAACAACTACCCGCTCCATACAAACGACTCATTCACGACATAAACATCACAAACGACCGAAAAAGAACGACCTAACTTTACCGACAGATCGAAACAGACCAATCACGACCGACTTACGTCACTTGAGTCTTACAGCCAATAACATCACGGCAAAACCAACCGATCATTTCACACGAACTAGAATAAGAACATTCTACTGACAACAATCACTCACTTGACTCTGATGATGACTTCCGCACAGGTTGTCGAAACGTCAGTCACTACCACCGACAACAGTCCTTCTCAGGACTACACTCACCTGGACGATCAGACTACACCTTCACTTATTTCATTATCTATTCATTGATTTTTTTTTCACAGGTTGGGAGATGGGTATAAAAGGAATGTGCATTGGGTAAGTTTTGGAACCTCTATGCAATAAACAACGACAGCAACAAAGTTGAAGATTTTCATTAATAGCAGGTTTTAATAATGAGCAGATAATACCATTTAGCTGCTGCTAAATAGAATTCACTTTGAACTTTATAAACACTTACCGTCTTAAATGACTTCTCTCTTTTTGGTACAGTCTACAAATAGGTTCAAAAACCCTTTCTGGGTCACCATTTTCGTGGCTCCCTGCAGTGAGTTCACAGAAGCAGTGCTCAGGCTATTTCTCAATAGTCTACGCTGCTGTTCTTTTTCTTTTGCTGAGAAAAAAGAAAATTTATCATTCCTTCTCACCTAGGGTATGGAGCTCGCGGAATTCAGAATGTTATTCCTCATAGGTAGATGTTGATTATATTTATGAGCATGGAAGCACTAGATTTGTAGCACAAGTGATATTCTGTAAGTTTTCTAATTGAACTTGGGCGACCGAGGTTTTAAAACCTTTCAAAACACAAATGGCCATTATAATCACTAAGTAGTTTGTATGAGTTCTTATCTATCAGATTTATTAAAAAAAACTTACTTTTCAACTCTCCTTGGTACGTCCACGGTACACATTACTGAGAAAACTTTTCAACGGGTTCCAAAATGCTCGTGTTTTCTTTGAATTGGTAGTTTCCTGAAATAATTTTGTTCATCTTAAGGCTCTGATTCCGATTAGAATACGTTACTGAATTAACGGCAAATCCCAACATTTTCTTATTTTTGTTTTATTCACGCATAGCCAACTCTGTACTGATTTTTACAACCGAGCTCATGTCTATTAAGAGGAAGTCGCTGTTTGATCCAAAGTTAATTCTGCAAATAGGGTTTTGGCCGGTCTTGGCTGGAGTGATTTTGTACTATCTGTATAGAAAGGCATGTAAAGAATCTAGCAAGCCTGAAACAAAGTAAAAATAAATGATAAAACTGTAAATTGTTCTTTAATAAACGGTGTTACAGTGAAGCCCCTTATTCAGCTGCAAATGGCATAGCACGATTTCATTTCCCGCGACTTTTCATGCGGAACGCCGGAAGTTCGTGGATCACTCCTGGGGCAATTGGCGCGGAAACCAGAGTGTAACTCCAAAAGCTTCGAATAGGTCATTAGGAATCCCATGATTTAAGGCCGTATTTACGGCAAGATCTTCCATAAACTGAACAGTTTCTTAGCGAATGAATATAAGCATAGAGGACAGAAACAATTATCTTTCCAATGACAGGTCATTTTCAATGCATACTCATTCCACCACGAAGTCGAGTTTTCGTTTTTGAGTAGCAGATAACAGAACAAAGGAAAATCCTTAAAAGCATGGGATGAGATCAGTAGTTTTTAAATACAGGCTCAAAATAAAAAAAAAAATAATAAAAAATAACCAAAATAAGTCATATTGTATGAAAACGGAAAAAACATTTATGGTTAAGAAAATTTGATATAATGTAGATTTGAAAGTCAAATGCGGTTATGCAAATGATGAACACATTGCTTGCCAATCAATATAGTCATGTCAGTCATGTTATAATTTAGTCAGTTCCCTCGTTGCGATCAAAACATACACATTCCGGTTATTGTACCGTTTTGCAATGATAGCTGCTAAAAAATAGATAATAAAGAAAAGAAGCTACAAAATTGAGAAGAGAAACGAACGATTTTCATTTATTCTTTAGGGTAGACGCATGGCTTGAACGAATTGAACGAAATACGTGATGGAAATTCTTGTCATCTAACTTTGCATTTATTTAAAACAACAATCAACCACAGCTGGAAAAACCTTTACCTTTGTGTGGATTAATTCTCTTCTGCTTATGCGGATGAATGCGATCAGTTTTTAACAGAGTAAAGAACAATCGACATCCAGGTACTTAAAGTAATCGCTTTTTGCTCTCTGTTCTTATCTTCAATATTAGTTTAATTCAATTCTCTCGCTCTTTGTAAGTTAGAAATATTAGATCTGAAAGCAGTAGGCATTTTTTGGTAGTAGCAAATTAGCTTCTTCGCTTCTACAGATGTCGATCCTTTAGATGAATTCATATTTGTTATGTCTGTTACCAGAATATTTGTTCAGTCCAAACTATCCTAGCTCCCTAAGTTAAGTTCTGAAGCTAGATCCGTTGTTTTTCACTCTTCTTAGAAATACGTGAAACATTTTTTTTGACCTGACCACTCACGTGTTTTATCGAAGTCGAATTTCCTCTCATCAACATCAGTACATTTTTCGGAAGAATAATGATGTTAAGAATTCAGGATTATGATAAACCCAGAATATTCCAAGTTCTTCGACAAAAACATAGTAAGATCCTCAGAATAGATGACCAAAATGCGTTTTTTGCCATTTAGCAATTTGAATTGGAAACGCAATCTTCAACGAAACGGAAAATTGAAATTGAAATTTCATGAAGCAGTCACTTTGTGAACGATTAAAATTATTTGCAACGAGTAACGGATATGATCATTTCAAGAAGAAAAAATATTGCCTCTCCTCGATTTTGTCAAGACTACCTAAATTATCGAAGTCAAACCTTTTTACCTTCTGTTAAAGATAACAACGGTTTTCGAAATACTGATGCACCGTAAACAAATAAATATCCCATGCAGTTATTATGAGCTCTTTTTGTAAAAGCTGCCAGTCTTCTTTCTTGTATTGCTAGATAATACAGATGTCTCCCCTGATAATGAATATGCTTTGGGTTTTCACCAAAATATAACTTCTAAAGTATTTCTCTACGGCAATAAGGTCGTGCATTTTTACAAGTTGTCAAAACGAACGATTGAAACTTCAATAGATTATCATAACACTAATTCATTGAACTCATCAAATTCTCATTTTCCTCAACAAACATTATTAAACTGTCAAGCAAAATGATGTTGAGAATTATGGTAAAATGATCAACTTGAGCTGGAATTAAAAAGTCAAATGACATCAGGGAAAAAGAAGTACGCAGCCTGTACTGAAAGATATAAATTTATCAGCATATAAATTTATCAGCAGACTGAAAGATCAAAAGAAAAAATATTTATGGCGTATGGATTTTATGTCCTCTAAAACCTTAGAAATAACTTTAGTTTTTTTGCTAAGGAAGCTGGAAAACACCATACGGAAAATGAGAAGCGGTTGTTTGTGGGAGAAAAGAATTATATCATGCATATTGTCGATTCTCTCTATTTGATATTAAAAATTGACTATACGTACAAAATATTTTAATTGTGCCATGGGGTGGACTCTGTCGAGCGCTTTAAAAGAAATGAAAAAGGCATCATTTCAGTGTATACTTCCTGTCAATAGGTTGAAAAGTACTATACACTGCCTAGATTATATTTACATTTTAGAGTAATTCCCTTTTCAGCATACGTTAATTCTCTTAACAATCTTCACACTCACTCGAGGAAACAAGTATTGAGAAAAAAGAGGTTCATCATTCGTGGACAACTTAGAATAAACCTAGGTGATTAAAAGGATCTAACTGTTCCTTGTAATCTTGTTCCTAAAGTGCATTATAGCCCGAACAAAAATGAGCATTTTTTTAGAACCAGTGAATTATCAATACCGATTTGAAGGGTAAATGGTTTAGAGCTGGTTCTTAAGCTAGGAGGCATTTCCAAAACGCAGGTGAAATAATGGTTTGCAGACAAAAATATTCAATTAATTTGGGGAAGAGAAAAACTTCACATACATTTGTTTCTATTTGAGTAAAAACAGCTATTGCTTGCCACAGGTGTAGAGTCTTCCTTAACTAAATTTTAAAGTTTTGTTTGCGTGATGTCAGCTTGCAGTGAATTTGAAATGGTTCCGAGATAAGCTGATCAGTCTTTAATCACGTTGAGTTATCAAAATATCGCTTCTCTTTCCGGTGAAAGAAAATGTTTAGGCAGGCGTCTGATAAGAGTATATTTAATCATCAGTGTGGAGTATATTAATCAACGAAAACGTTCCTTAATGTAAAACATAAAAGAGATCTTTTACTTCTGACTCGATAAGAAGAGCAAAAGAAAACAATAAATCAAACACACGAATAATTGTGGGTGTCAAATATCATTAAAATTGTAGAAATTAAAACGCTATTGTCGTATTCAAGTTAAAAGGAGAAACTAGTTTTTATTTTATTGTTTAATTTTCGTTATCCATTTTTATGATCGAGCAGTAACTTTTAGCTGCAAATTTGTAGCAGAAAAGTCCTTGATCGATAAAAGAAAAAAATCACATCCAATTTGGTAAGGATTCTATGTTGACTCGAGTTTAATGCGTAAATTGCATTAAAGGGCTGGAATGGCACGCGCTAGATAGCTGACCAGAAATAGTGGCTGAAAAAACACTTGAGTGGTTTTGTGTTTTGGATGAAAATCAGTCTTTAATTGCAGTCTTTAATCAGTCTTTAGGTTGTTAATTGCAACCAGGTCAAGAAAAGTAGAAATGAAAATCACACTTTCTTTATAAACAAATATATAACCAATATCTAATTTATTAGCAAAGTTAAACAATGACACTTATTTGAGATCAAGTTTAAAGAGAGTAAAATGCAATTCTTTTTTAACTCTTCGACCGTAAAGGTAAAGTATGCAATTACTTAAGGGCCGATGAAAGCAAATTTACTGTTCAATGACT